GTTGGTTAGTGATGTTTTTTGTTGGTTGTTAGCTGGTTAGTGGTGGTTGGTTGTTGATTGTTTCGTTGTTGGTTGGTCAGTGATGATTTTTGTTGGTTGGGTTGTTGGTTGGTTAGTGGTGGTTGATTGCTTGGCTGGTTGTTGGTTGGTTGATTAGTGGTTGTTGATCTGTTGTTGGTTGGTTGGTGATGGTGGTTGGTTGGTTGGTGGCGGATGTTGGGCAGTTGTGTTTTTACCACATAGGCAGCCATTTCAGAGGTGTTTTTTCTCTTCCTGTCCCCAAAATGCAGGTGTTTGAAGAGCTGCTTTTAGATGCTGACTACAGCATCAATGCAGGGAACTGGATGTGGCTGTCAGCCAGTGCCTTCTTCCACCACTACACACGGATCTTCTGCCCGGTCCGTTTCGGGAGGCGCACAGACCCAGAGGGGCAGTACATCAGGTAGGGCCACACACAGCATGGTGCTTTCTGCTCAGTGCTGCTTCCCTGCTCCTCTGACAGCAGGAGCTGGGGAACTCAATCTGCATGAAACACAACCCCTGTGGTTTACTCAGCATGGAAGGAAACCCCAAAGGCTGTGCTTACGGAGGTGATGACTGAGCATGGAACTGCATTGGCTGTGAGTGCCTGCAGACTCCAGGAGCGTCCAATTGCTGGGAGAACACGAGTGTGCTCCACTCCATGCTGTCAGTGTGGAAGTTTATGAGCTCCTTAAGGAGCCCATCTCTCCCAGATGTGGACTGAGCCTTGTTAACACATCAGTGATTACCTGGAGTCCATCCCTCCCAGGAATGCACACCTGGCTTTGCTGACATTAGGATGATTTTCCTCAGCGATCTTTGAAGGAGTCTAAAAGTGGTTTCTGTCCTATGTTGTACTTGCAGTGAGAAAGTCTACAGTGAAAATAGTTTGGATGAAGTCAAAGCTGAAGTAATGCTTAAATCAATCTTGTTATTTGTTTATGTGAAGTTAACTGGTGGAGGATTCAGAACAGAAAAAGATCTTTTGCATAAAATGAATCAGAACTCTCATGGATTGCAGTATCAGCAAAACCACCAGGAATGAATGTGGCGTAGGTTGGATTACATTTAAGTGTATTTGTCTGCAGGATTGTAATTAAAACACTTTATTCTTCTTGTGTTGTAGGAAGTACTTGCCTATTCTAAAGAACTTTCCCTCTAAGTACATCTACGAGCCCTGGACGGCCTCTGAAGAGGAGCAGAAGCAAGCAGGATGTATCATAGGTAGCTCAGATACTGTGCTCAGGATTTTGCTGTTGATAATTGTAAGAAAATAATCACAGGTGTGACATGGAAGTGCCACACTTCCACCACGAGTCGTGCGTTTATCTTTGTCAATGGATTCACCCAGCAGCCCAATGGAGTCACCCAGCCCACTCTTTGTAAATCCTTCAGTCTGATTTGATGGCAGTGGTTGCGATTCTTAGTGAGTCCCCAACGTGCTCATCACACATCTTTGGTGAAGTTTTACTCTTCCTGCATTTCATCCTTGAAAACAGTTGGTGACAAATGTAGATATTACCAAAAAGTGGTGACACGGATGAGGCACGATTGTGGAGCGAGGGGCGTTTTTCTCAGGTAAAAGGGGTCTTGTAAAAGTCCCATAAAGAGGCATGGTCAATTTTTTGAGTTGAATATCTGATTGCAACGCTGTGCATTCAATCTGAACATCTGCAGGCAGTGCATTTGTGACTGAAAATGGAGTCATAAATGTACCAAAAAATTGATGATTTTTTTTTTTCCCAGCAATCTTGAAACCTATTCTCAAATTCCTTTATCGAAACATCAAACAAGGCTGCATTGATAAATTTAGCTGTGTCCTTTAATGGCACCAAAGATCCATTTATCCAGTGCCATCGTGTTTGTTATCAGTGCCTCTCACAGAAATGGCAAGCTGGGTCATTTCTGTAGCATCAGCACTTTCTTATATTGCCAAAGCAAATAATTTGGAATTAGCAGCTTTATGCTCCAAATTTCTTTCGATTTTTACATTTCTTCTCTTCATTTGTCCACACTCGTCTGAAACTGATTTTAGAAAAATCTGTTCTTTTTGCTTGTTTGTTTTAAACTGGGACAAATTATATCCTCCATGCCTTCCATACACTGCTCCATAAAGAATTCGCTTTGCTGTGAACCCAGTGAGACGTCCTTGCTTAGTCCTGCCAAGTCTCTGTTGTACCAGGTCAGGATTACCCCTTCCCAATGGTGGACCACAAGGAGGCCAGCGATCACAACCTGCAGCTGATGAAGCAGGTCCGAGAGGAGCAGTACAGAACAGCCCAGCTCACCAGAGGTGAGGTCCCCAAGTCCATCCCTACCCCTACTGCCCACATCCCTCAGTGCCGCATCTCCGTGGTTCTGAACTCCTCCAGGGATGGGAACCCCACCTCTCCCTGGCTCATATGGAGTTCGTTATTCCAACCCTGTGCCCGCTGATGTGTCCAGAGGTTGCACATTGATACCCACCAACCCTGCGGGATGGTGGGGTGAATGTTGTTGTGATTGCTCTGGAGATGTGGAAAGCCAAAGCTTGAGAAGCTGATGCCTGCTTCTGGCATTGTTGCTGTTGCCTGTACATGGGTTTTCTGGCATACTTGGTAGCTTTACCTGCTGCTGTCAGGGGTAGCTGTTGCTGCACTGAGGTCTGAAAGGCTGCAAACTTTTGTTCTTCCTTCCTTCTTGCCACAGATGATGCAGATGACCCAATGGAAATGAAGCTGAAGCGGGACCGCTCTGAGGAAAACTTAACAAAGACAAAAGCAGCCAGGATGACAGAACAGACCTAGATCCATCGGGATTTACCCTCTGGGAACTGAGAAATGGCACAAGGGAGAGCAGAGGCCATCTGAGCAGGAGGAGCTGCACTCCATACTTTGCCCCCTGCGTGAACCAACCACCAGCAAAAGCTTTGTACCTTCTATGCATTTGTTACTGCAGTTATTTTGAATGAATTTGTCTGTCTGTTGGTGGCTTAGTAGTCATTTATTGCAGCTGTAGGTAATGGACATGTTTCTCTGTTGCTATTATTCAAATCCACTCAATGTTCATGCCTCTTTATAAATAGTTTTGATGATAAATGCCACTCTTTCCAACGTGACAAATACATGTCAGTTTAAGAATAGATTTATATTACTGTTTTCACAAATTAGTGTTAAAAGCAGGATTTGCCTTAGACAGGCAAATTTTAAGGGCATTGTTGTATAGTTTCTCAGTGGATTAGGGCTGATGTCCTTCTCGGCTTATTCCTCTAGAACTGTAGGATAGGTATTTTATTCCTCTCATGTATCACACGTAAAAATTCCCCCTTCCGTTGGAATGGCTCCTTCTGAAGTGTCACAAGGCTGAATAGCCTGTTTTCTTTGTTATGGTTGGGGTTCTGTTATGGTTGTGGGTTTTCATCACTGTGGGTGCTACTTTTGTTTATAAAGGAAATAAAAATTGTTTCTGACATGAAAAAATGTAAGGTCTGTAGATTAATCTGTTGTCACAATTGGTGTCCATCTGCCCTCTTTGGAAAGAAGACAACTACTGCATCAATCCCATACGCCCAGACTTCTTCACTCTGAAGGCATCTGTTGACCAGTGCAGAAGCAGCCTATGAGCCACATGAACTGGGGGTGTGTTGTTGTTTTTTTTTTTTTTACAGTAAATACAAAAGCTGTGAGGACCATCAGAAAGATCTGAGAATGGGCCGTGTCCTCCTGCTGTGCTAAGCCAGAACTGAGCTGCTGGCTGTGCTGGTGCTTCTCGGCATGCTCCTCTTCAGCACACAGAAGGGTTGCCAGGATGACCTGAATGAAAGGCTGAGCCCTGGATGAGGGCATTGCAGCGATGCAGAGCTGGGTATTGCATCGTGTTTTTAAGGCACACTCATCTCCTTCGTGTTCTAAAGAGGACAGCTTTTGCTGTTTCAGTGTCACGTCTAGCATTGCTGTGCAAGCAAAGACTTTGGGTGCTCGCTGGTCATAGGTGTGCATGAGGATGGAGTGGCATTGCTTCCTAGGAGGAGAGACTGCAGGTGTGGAGGTTCAAAGAATCTTGGGGACACCTTTTGTTGAAAAGCAGCTGCACGGTTTGGTCTTTGGTTGGAAAAACTGAGATTTGTGTCTGCAAATAAACTATGTAGGAGAAACACTTGAGCAGGAAACTGCAAGAGCAGTGGAGCTGGAAGATGTTGTTTCTTGGTGACAAAGCAGAGATGAAGTTCCCTCATTCCCCATAAGCTCAGCGGTATCCTGTGGCAATGAAAGCTCTGCAGTAAATGCTGCTTGGAAATGGGGATCCTACTGTGATAAGAACTTCAACTTCGAATGGGCAATGAAATGTCTGAGCCACTATTTGGGCCACTTTTGTCAGAGTAGGAAATCATGGGTGAGAGCAATCTGCCAACACAGGTGGAAGAACAGAGCTCCACTGAGTTGCTCCTCCCAGCACAGCGAGGAGCCCCTCGTGTGCTCTGCATTTCACACTGCTGTGACAATCTGCAGTCAGACAAAGCAAAATGTCACCGAGTTGCTCTCCAGTAAAGTTTTCCTCTCGTGACAGACAGAGGGGCCGCGAATCTTGGAGGCTGCACGAATGGATTCAGCGCGAGGTTCTGCCGCTCGCTCTGTGCGGGGAGCGGAGCGGCGCTGTGCGCCCAGAGTCCGGCAGGGGGCGCTGCGATGGCGCCATGTGGCCACGAGGGGGCGCCAGGAGCGACTCCTTCACTCCCTTACTTCCGGTCCCGCGAGAAGCTCTCCCACCCCGACGCCGCCAACCGCTTCCGGCCGGAAGTGCGGCCGCCGCTCGCAATGTCCCTCGCTGCCGCAGGGCGGCGTCGCGTTCCATTTCCTCTCTCTCCCGGAAGTGTCCGGAACGGAAGCGGCCCCCGAGCGGCGGCTCTTGTACAGGAAGTGACGGCCCGCCGCGCCCCTCCCGCCGCGGCCGTTGTTCGCAGCCGGCTCTGCGCTCGGCCCCGCGGCTGGGGCCGCCCCGCCATGTCCCGCCGCCCGCCGGGGGCCTCGCGGAGCCGAGAGGAGCGGTCGGGCAGCGCACAGCAGTTGTGAGTACCGGGCCCGGGCGGCGCGGTGCGGGCCGGCCCGGCGCTCGCCCCCTCCCGGCGGAGGGCGGACGGGGGCGGGCGACGACGCCGCCGCCGCCGTCTCCGCCGCCGCGCTCCCAGGCGGCTCGGCAGGGCCCGGTACGGCCGAGCAGGGAGCCACCCGCCAGGTACGGTCCCGCCACCCTCCTCGCGCCGTCGGCGGGGCCCGGCGCTGAGAGGGGCGAGGCCGCAACGCGCGGGGCCGGGCGGCCGCCGCGGGGCGCTGGGCTGGGGAGGATCCGGGGGGAAGCCGGGAGCGGGAGGGCCGGGCGGCCGTCGAGGGCGCGTGTCCCGCCTCCGGCCGCTGGGCGCCTCGACGGGGCGACGTGCGGGAAGGAGACGCGCGGTCGGGCCCGCCGGCTCCCGGCTGCACGGCGGCTTTGCGCCCGGCTGCTGTCCTTGTGGGGCCGCTCGTTGCGCTCTGAGCCTTCTGCCGTTCGGGGCTGGCGGCGAGCGGCGCGGCTGGGCCGGCTGTGCTGGGAGCATTGGTGGGCGCTCCATGGCGAGCGGCGCTGGGAGTCGTTGTTCTAATTGTTACTAATTGTTCCTGATTGTCCTGATTGTTCTTAATTGTTCTCTTACCGCAAGGGCTGTTTTGGGGCGGGAGAAAGTGTTTCTGTACAGAGCTGTGAACCAGCACTGAATGTTTTTTGCTGCCGTTGCTGAAAGTTGCTGGATTATGGGAAAATAAGAAGCTGTTGGGAAAGGCTTTCACCAAAGTTCTGGGCAGGATTTCTGGCTTCGCACAGAAAGTCAGAATCGCTTTCTAGACTTTGTTCAGTGATAACAGCAAAACTTAATTATGATGCTCAGTTTAGGCATGGACAGGACGTGGCTGTATGAAGGGAATGTGAACTGCAGTCAGTTTGCTTTAATTTGTTCCTGGGCTTAGGCCTCCAATTTATGCTCAGTCTTGTTTGGCCGCTTCCAGGATTTGATTGTGCCCATTGAAATAAATGAAGTTGGTTTTCTGAGGTTTGTAGAACTTGTGGTCCCTGATTGGTTTATTCATAGTTAGGAGGAGGAAGTTGTTTCTGAAGCGTTACCTGGGAAGATGGGCAGCTGGAAAAGCAGCTCACCAGAAAGAAAAGACTGCAATACAAAGATATTGCTGTGGTTGATTGTATGAGTGAAGAAAACAGGAATCATTCCAACAGAGGAAAATACAGGATCTACTTTCTGTTCTTCTAGCTTGATATGAAAGTGGTGCTTATATATATATGTTAAAAATATCGTTCCTTCCTGTTTCCTTCTCTTATCACTGCTTTCCTTGGTTGCTTAATGCTCAACTCCTGTAGTTGAGGAGGAAGCTTTTGGTATTGCCACACATGCTGTCTTTGTAGCAAAATAATAACAGTTTTTGCTGTTTTGTCACTTTGGTGTCACTGACCTCTGTTGAGAATTTCGGATGGTGGTTCGAAGTGCTGTCTAGGAGCTCAGTGCTGAGCTTCGTGGTTCTGCATCATCAGTGGAGCTGGGAGGTTTAAAAGTGCTTCAAAAAACACGTTGGTTTTTTTTTGTTTGTTTGTTTATTTTCTTCTGCTTTAATTACATTCAAACATTCAAGTGTTTCTAGTTGTTGCTCTTCATTTAAGCAGAAATATTTATGTAAGATCACGATGCTTCCATGCTAGTTTCTATCAGCTGACCTTTCTGGTTCCAAAACGTCCTACTCTGTTTTACCACTGACTGCTCTGGTAGCATCCAGTGAGAACTACGTGGCATGTTGGCAATGCTGTCATTTCCAGGATGCTGTTGTTTTTAAAACAAAGAATTTCCTGACCGCTGCACCGATAAATTACTTCAGTCTCTTCTTTTTCCACACAGAATGCCTAGAAATGAAATTGGACGTAATTGTCCAATACTTTGGTAAGTGCTACCTGTAAGGTTACAGCAAAGAAAACTCTGCATGTCTAAAGCCTTTAGACAGACAGTAGCACAGACATTTATATTGGCCATCAAGGGAAATGCGATCTCTGACAACCAGGAGCTGATCTAATCAGGGAGTCAAGAGCGCCCTTCTGGTTTCTCATTTGCTGGGAAAGGACCACGTTTGAGCAGATGCAACGGCTTCATGTGTGGATGTTCTCTACTAATGGCTGTATTCTAAGCTGACTTGGAAGACCCAGCTGTATTACTTGGCTGCCAGAAAAAAAGTTTCAGTGGTTGAAAAACTACTTGACAGCAAGCAGAACGCAGTACTGTTGTCATCTGGACTGAGTCTGGGAAATAAGATCATGTTTTCGGTTAATTTGTTGATGTAGAAAGTCAGTAGGACAGAGCTAGAATATTTTTGGTGACTGATGCTCGAGTTGGCAGCTTTGCATTTTTATCCTGGTTCTGATGTCAAGCCATGAAGCTACGTGCTGTTCATTGGATCTTTTCTACTCTAGCGAGAGGAACTGTTCCGTTCTGTTGGCATCAGCCTGCTGTGCCCTGTTGGCAGTGCTTGGGGCAGTAGGTTGTTACACTGAGAGTCCAGGAGTTCTCTGGGGAAGATCCGTGCGTTCATGGGAACTCGTGCGCAGTGGGAGCGTCTCTCTGTCTTGCAATGGATTTGAAAGTCTTACGTCATTCCTATCTTGGCATTTGAAGCAGTCACAACTTTCAAATTGATGAGGTTCTGTCTGTCTGCTGTTTTGACTTTTTGTCTTCACATCTGCATCTTCAGATTTCAGCGGTTCTGATTCTCTGTGTTCCTTCTAGTTCTTGAAGCCCTTTTCTTCTTAGACTCCTGTTTCTATAAGTCATACAGAACTTCCATGTGTTCCTTGATTACATTCGTTTTCTTTAATTTCTTTGAAGATGACTGACCTTGTAGCACGTATCTGTCCAGAGAAAGAATGAGCAGGTGAGCTGTAGGCAAATGAGTTGGACACCGTGCATCTTATTTCACAAGTGAATGTATTTTGCATCTTATTTTATTTTTTCCACTAGTTTGTCTAAAGTAATTTCTGCTTCCATCTTGTCAAGTGATTAATCTGCCTGTATTTTCCTGAAGCTTTCCTGAAATTCGGTACTTCTTATCGCTAACTATGGGTATTAATACAGCAAGGAGCAAAAGTACAGCTTTTCTGTTAAAGCTGGAGATAGCTTTTTTTTTTTTTTTTTTTCTCCCATTGGAGAAAGAAAGGCCCAGTGAGCAGAAGAGAAGGATAATTTAAGATGTTTCCTTGGGTCTTTAACCTCGTTGTTATCTGAGAAGGATGCTCTTTCTTGCTTCTCTATGGTGTAATTGTTGGATGTGATGTTTAGTCTGTAGTATTCTGAAATGCTAACCCAAAATGTATATATAGTATGATCAGCATGATTTTTGCCTCTGTGGTTGCTGAAAATCAGATCTGGAGTTTTTTGATAGCTAGTCTGTTTCTAAGGCATAGCAGCACTGGGTGTACAATTCACTGATGGACATTATTTAAAATATCTGTGCTGTGTTCACTTATACTTTCTTTCTTTTTTTTCTTTCTTGTCTCCTTTCTTTGTTTTGTTAAGCATTGCAGGCTGTATGTACCGAGTAGTTCAGACGACGGGACCAGATGGAAAAAACCTTCTGAAATTACTCCCAATTTCTAAACCTTCTGGAAACTTTGTGCCAGTAGTTCAGTCTTCAGCCATGTCAAATAATCCTAACGGGAATGTTTCTAGTCCAGTCCATCTTGCTTTTAAGACACAGCTTGCCAGTACTGCTGCATCTTCATCTGTTAAGATACCTGTTTTTCAGTCTCCTAATTCTGGAAAGATTATCCTTGCAAGGACGTTAGACAAACAGGGAGGTGTTAGAGCAGGTTCTGATAAAGAAAGCGTAACGACAGAATCAGCTGCTGACGTTCAGAGTAGTTGTGTTTCGGTTGATAGACGGTCTTTGCAGAACGCTGCCGTAACGAGTTCATCTGAGCAGAGTCACACTGCACACATGTTGGGAAACACCAAAGATAATCCCATTTCTGTGAAGCCTCCAGTTCTGCCCTCTGGCCACCACCTCCAGATACCAGCGGATGCAGAAGTGAAATCTGTCCCAGCTTCTTTTTTACCGGCTTCAATCCAGCAAAAAATACTTGCCGCTGCAGCAACAAATGCGTCTGATGGAGCTGATAGTAAAAAAATGCCAATGGTGATTTATGTGTCACCTGTGAACGCAGTGAAAACAGTACTTCCCAAGCGTTTGCAAGCTGACAACCCCAAACCTGCCCCAGATGTTTCAAAAACGTTGCTAATGGCAGCTCCACAAAAGGCACACAGCTCTTCTCCTGAGACAGGAACGTCTGATGGTCAGCAGTGCCAGCACGCACCAATGAAATGGATTGTGCGAGAAAGTCCGCAGTTGCCAGCGCCCTGCCTTATTCCTGTAAAGTCATCAAATAACGTGGCTTCCAAGATCTTGAAAACTTTGTCAGATATGAAGAATGTAGAAGTGAACTCTGCAAATATTTTGTCACGCTTTTCTACTGGTTCTGGTGTAAGCAAAACAAAAATCACGTCCATTAAGGATAATGCTCTGGTCATGTGCAATGGGAAAGTCTATTTATTGACCAGGAGAGGTTCTGATGTTCTGTCAGCCCAAGCTGACGTGCAGGCATCTTCCTCTTATGGTGCTTCACTTAAAAAGGGAACATCCAAGCTAATTGATTCTACTGAAGTCACTAAAATAAGCAATAAAGTGGTGAATCTGGTATTATCCAAAAACAAAGGAGTGCCGTTACCTCAGAAAGATCCTAAAGTGTGTACAAACTCTAAAGCTTCTTCACCTGGAAGTTTAAGAAATGACTTAAAATCTGCATCTGCAGCTCTGGTGATACCAAGTGTTGAGGAGCAGAGTTCCACTGTAAACCAGGGAAAGAGTTTGCCCTTCATGGAGAGCATCTCAAGTGGAATGACCCCAATTACGGCGTTAGGGATGCAGGAAAATACGTGCCAAGATGGCAAGGAAATGATTCATTCCCCCAAAGCAGCAAGTGCTGTTTTACCTCAGTCTGAACACGAGTGTGCTTTCAGTGAAGACTGGCAAAAGGTAACTCCAATAAACGTGACAATCTCAGTCTCTGCTTGTTATATGCTCCTGGGTCTGATTAAGTGAAATGGCTTTTTCATAAGTTGACAGACTGTTTTTACCTTGTAACCTGTCACCAGAAATGCTGGTTTAAAATTAGATTATTTTATTTTTTTAGTCCAAAAGCTGAAAAGGTTATTCTTTTCCCAGTTAAATTGCTCTGTGCAAGTGGGAAAAGGCATAAAGGAAAAAAAAAAAAAAAAGGCAGGGAGAAGATGTCTCTGTTTCTTCACAAGATTAGTTATCGCACATGAGAATATGGGTAAGCTGTTCAGCCTTTAAGCTCTGGTTGCTCTCTGCTTTTTAACATTGCTGCCAGATGCTGTAGGCATGGGGTGAAGTAGGGAAGCTTGGAATGATGTGAAAGGAAGACAAGCGGTCAAGCAGAGGTTTTCATTCTGAGACAATCTGATGTTGCTCCTCCAATTTCTGCTGGCTGATAGAGCCAAAGGCAAGAGCTACATTTCCTTTCTTTCATGCTGTGATGCAGTGGGATTCTTTGTCTTGTGGCTTGATGTCAGGCAGGCGAAGCTCAAAATCTTCAATGGCAACAGAGCTGTCCCCCTTTTGACTGCCTATGTATTCTTCTAAAATCATAGCGTAGGAAATATCTCAAAGTCTATAGCTGCAAATTCCACAAACTCTGTACCTATGAAGGATTGCAAGTCAAGATTTCAATTGCTTCTGAAGACAGAAGGAGTTTGCCTCCAGGTGAAGAATCATTCGGAAGGAAGTGTATACTTCTGTTGACCAGGCCAAAGAGAAATGTCAGATAAGTGTGTGTATGCACATTTCAGGCATTTATTCATTGCAGTAGACTGTAGGATCTCTTCCTCACTCCCAAAAATTGTTCAAGTAGACTTTTTTTCTGTGAGGACTTTATGATGGCAAGTGGTAGCGTTTGACTTAATATCTGTGAAAAATAGCATTTCAGTTGTTTTCTTTTGGTCCTTAACTTTGCGAGCCTATGGGTGCCAGATGTAATGATGTGAGCTTGATCTTGCATATTAAAAAAGCCAGTTCAGGTTACAGTGAGGATTAGATGTTAGAGGTGGTTAATAGTGCTTCATTGGTATTATCAACCACAATGCAAATAAGAATTGTTTTCATCAGCCTGAAAGCGATTATGTATAGAACACTGATCTCTTGTTATTTGCCTTTGATACTTATGGCCTTTAGGGTAGGTGATGCCCCTGTTGCTTCTTTTAATTCTGTAGTTTACTAGTTGGACTTTGCATTTACTGGATATTGTGCAGTGCACCTGATGTTTTAAGTAACTAATGTTAGGCCTATGATAATTTGCCTGTAATTCCTCAAAATTGGCTTACCTGTCTTAAATGCAACTCGTGGAAAAGAACAAATTGTCATTAGGGCTTTGAGTAAACTAAGGCTTTTACATACATGGAGAGATTCATGGTTCTCTTACTGTTTCTGTATTGCAGGTCCAGCGTAAGAAGATGTATTCACTAGGAAAAGTTAATAAAAAAAAAGACCAAGAGAAGCCACATTGGAAACAGTATTTGCAATTAAGGACAAAATTTGGTCTCTATAAGGAGGAGAGAGTCTACCTTAAGAGAATACCATTAACAACCTCCTGTGAGAAACCAGATGAGAGGGTGAGCTCCAGTAACAGCTTGGAAAAGAAAAATGATTCTTGCACTTCCTCCTCATTAGATGTGACAATAACAGACCGACATCGGGAATGTATTAAAGAGGAAAAGGTACCTTGACTTTTTTTGGTGCTAAAATATGTGTACTGCGGCACGTTCAGAAGGCAGTGTGAGTGTCGTCAGTACGCGGGTTGTGCTTTTTGCCTGGGCCGTCTCACCTCTGGATTTGTCAGGGGAAGTCGATAATTGTTAGATCAGGATGGGAGCTGATCCTTGGACTTGTTTCTGTACTGCTGCAGAGCTGAGTGATTTCAGTATGACCTGAGTACTCTTTTATTATTATTTTTTTCTTTCTTATCCTCTTTTCTGGGTTCAGCTGGAAGAAACCTGAAGAGCAAATGCTTTGATGATGCTGACCCGCTAGTTATGACTGAACAGTGAAAAGGACAGCATTTATGGGAGTAGGAGCTATACCTCTGTGACCCTGATTCGTATTTAGCCTTCTACTAACAATTAGGCTTATCAAGTAGTGCAATGGATATATGCAGAGCAATCAAGAATTTTCCTGGGCAGCTTTATCTGTGTATTCCAGATCAGGCAAGTGCTGTTATTTGAAGGCACTTCAGACGTTCACATAGCTAGATGTGTCTCACTTCACAAAAGAGCTGTCCACTTTGTCACAATCAGTGTTGTTTAGAGAAATTTGCTCACGTACTTGCGAGGTGTTGAGAGTTGCAGTGTCTTTATGAACTTAGTCCTTTGTCATTGGATAGGAACATTCTGGAGTGCTTCTGGAAAGGTTCCTTTATTGTAAAGCCTTGCATTTTAATGCATGAAAATGATTTTTATCCATAGAAAGTGGTTCTGTTCGGCCTTTGTGTTCTACATTTTCTTTTGTATGGTTGTACTCTACTCAGTCAAAGGCCTTTTCATGTTTTGATGACTGTATGTGGAGAACCCTATGTTGAGCAGATCTACTGCCTAGTAAAGTGATTCTAAGAAACAAGCAATGAGTAACTCCTGCAATATGTGCCCAGTAACTGTGATCGTGTCATGTCAAATGGTCCTCAGTTTAACAGGAGTGTCTTTGTGTGTTTCTTGATCTTACAGGTTATTTTGGATCTAGAAGAGGGTTTATCTAAGAAAAGAAAAACAAAATCTTCACTGCCAGACAGTGGAAAGAGAAGGAAAGCATCAGTGAAGTCAGCCACGAGCTCAAGTTCAGAATACAGTGGCCGAAGTTCTATCACACTAAACAGAAGTGTTTCTCCTCCACCTGCCTTATTGCAGCGAAGCATCTCCACAGACTTTGTATCCTCAACAGACGCTGAGCGAGAGCTGTGCTCCCAAAACAGCGATGTTACAGACTCAGATATTCCAGTGTTAGTGTCCTGTGAAGACCATGCTTCACTTTTTGAAGGCTCTTTCAGAGATGATGCTTTCCCTTTGACTCCCCCAGACCTGGATGAAACGATCCGGGACGAGAAGATAAAACGACTCAAGCAGCTCTTGAGAGAGCGGGAAGCAGCACTTGAGGAAATGCGTAAAAAAAATGCAGCAAATCTGAAATACTGAAGGTGGTGGTGGTCTGAACCGTATTCATCTTCATCTCAGTGACGTGAAGAAGAAATTTTGCGTTCGAATGAAGGTGAATATTTCTGGAAAACGGAGGACCTTGAGGAAATTTGTAATGTGTATTTATAAAAATAATTTTCCTACTAAAGACTAGAAATAAAAGACTTGGACCACCAGATTGTGCTTCTGGGACATGTATGCGTATCAGAATACAGAAGAGAGTGTTTTTACTATTTTTAGCATATCCTCTGTATTTTGCATTAAAGGGGTTTCTCTACTAGTCTTAGAAAATAAACTTCCCCAATTTGGAAATTTGTAGCCCATCTGTTAGAGACAGAGTGCAGATAGCACCCTCCCCCCTTGTAAATGTATATTTTTTTGTTTTCTTAATATTTTATACTGCATGACAGCTTTTGTGAATTACTAGGAACTGTCACTTGTCATAAAAGGTCCATGGTCAGTGTTTAATAAATGCTATTTAAGAGGTTTGGGGATTAGTCTTCAGGCAGTAATGATGCTGATATCCAGGGGAACCAGTACTAACAGCTGCTGAAGTGTACCAGCAAAGTTATTTCGGTACGTGTTTCCTGCAGTTATTGTTGTAAGCCTTTATAAGGCCTTTGACAGATGTGCAATGTTGAAGTTTGGTTGTAGGATTATTTGGTTGTTGGGTAGGGTGGGTTGTTTGTTTTACTTTAATGAGTTAAACTGAATCATTCCTTATTTAAGCAAAAAAGATACATTTCTTTGTCTGTGAGTGGTATCTTTAAGAATTCCTGATGAATGTCTCTTCCGTTAACTCGTTCCATCTTTATTTGAATGTCTCCTTCATTTGATGCTGCCTACGTTTTGCACTGTAGAAGAGAAAGAGCACCGAAGCTGTCTTTGCCATCATGATTTTCATAGCTCTTCAGAGTGTTTCCCCAGCATGTAATGTCATGTGGTATGGAGGCCTTCTGCTCCTCTCTGTTGTCCATGTCACAGGATGAGCTAGGTTGGAAGAGACTTTCAAGGTGATCACGTCCAACCATCAGCTGACCAGGTCCCATCGCCGACCCATGTCCCTTTGTGCCACATTAAATTTTGTCACATCACTGAATTTTTTAAGGACTTCATGCAGTTATTTGAAGTCTTTATTGCTGCTGCCATGAATGCACTGCTAACAGAACATAGCGTTGCTTTTTCTTACCTAGTTATGGCTTTATTCAACATCACAGATCCCTGTGGAACTTGCTCTGTAAGAGAGAGCAAGTGAGTTACACGTACTTTCTTGGTAAATATGCAAAGCACAGAGGCTAATTTATGGGAGGTGGGATTTTTGATCAGTGAATGACACCAATGAGGAAAACATTTGTCTCATCTTGTTCCTGAAAGTATGGAAGCAGCGTAAGTTTGGCTAAGCCTGTCTTGAAGTGTTTTGTGGGAAAAGTGGGACTATTCACTACGTATTGGGTGCGGCGGGTTGACATAAGCCAGCACAGTTGCTTGCTCATTTACCTTCCCCATTGCGTGAGGAGAAGGCAGAAGGCAAGAAGATTTGTGGATTGAGATAAATGCAGTTTAATAGGTGAGGTGAATGTTGTGCATGCAGGCGAAGCAAAATAAAGAATTTAATGTGTGCCATCAGCGGGCTGATGCTTGACCACTTGGTTGAAGCGAGACCGGCATACATAATGGTTGCTTGGAAAGGTGCACACAGAATCAACAAACACCCATGAAGTTACGTGGCGTGGAGCATCGCTTTGGTAATTTGGGGTCTGCTGTCCTGGTTCTGTTCACTTCTACGTTTCTGCTGGAGGGTAGAGTGGAAAACAGAGAGAACCTGGATGCTGTGCAGGTACTGTTCAGCAACAGCCACAGTGCTGGTGTGTTACCAGCACTGTCACGAACCCAGAATGCTGCACTGTACAGACTGCTGTGAAGAAAGCTGCGTCCATCCTAGCCGGCACACTGGGACAGCAATCAGGAAAGAGAAGCAGCCTCTTGCCTTGTGTCTGGTGCTGTGCTCACTGGTTGTGATGCTCTTCCAACAGATGTCTTCTATCTATCCTGTCGTCTGTCTTAACATCTTTACATTCTGATGATGTGCAGCGAAACAGATCAAGCTCTGTTCATTTATCCTCTTAAATCCTTCAGGATTTAAATTCTGTGACGTATCACCTTTCTTTCACAACCTCTTTTCCTCTAACAAACTGCTTGCTTACTCCTCTGTTTTCTGTAGAGATTATGACAAAATAGTGAAAATTCAGAGAAGAATCCTTGCTGCAAGGTTTTGAAGAAATGTAATCAGTCAGATTTGTTAGAAGAAAGTGAAGAAGTTGGTTCCCTGTGATTGAGTAATGGAAAATGGGCAATTCAGAAAGTTGAAGCCAAGACATCTGTGCAAGAGCAGGCATCTCTCTTGGAGAGCTCTATTGGAAGCTGAGAGGATCTCTGAGAGCGAAGACAAACCTCTTGGTGTGCCGGTATGGGAAAGTTGTAGCAGCAAAGTGACTTAACAGCCCAGGACCTTGCAGGTCATTGGAACTGCTCCTCGTGCAGCCATGTTGTCTGTAGCGCAGATTGGGTTTTTCTGCACTGTTCATCCCTTAAAGTCTATGATCTACTGAGCATTTATTTGTGAAGTGGAAGCTAGGATCTTAGGAGCACTGATAGTGCCATGACCACTGCCCTGAGGAGCCAGATCCGTACCTGACCACCAGCTGGTGAAGAACCTTTTTGTGATGTCCAAGCTGAACCTCCGTGCCATTCCCTTGGGCCCTATCAGTGGCCACCAGAAGGCATCGTGCTTGATGTGTTTACACAAAACTCACTTTCAAGCAAGCATTCATGAAGAGACGGTGGGAGTCTTCTAGGAATTGGTGGGCTGAAAGAACAAAAGGCACTGAGCACTGGACACAGCAGGTTGGGAGGCAAAGACAGCACTGGGCCAGCTGACATCAACCTAATGCGATGGTCAGTGTGTGGACAGAAGAACTATCCCTGCACAAAGGAGTTACTGCTCCATTTGAGGTCAGCCCACCAAGGCACCAGCACTTCTGTATGAGAACACCCAGCTGTCAGAGTTGCTTAGCGTGAGAGGCTGCCTGGAAACTGTGGCAGCAGCCAGCTGCTGCAGACTGCTTTCATCAGGTGATGAAAAGTGCACGTGAAAATGAGCACATTCACCTTTCAAGCTGTTTTGGATCACATGGAAGTGACCCTGGGTTCCCTGCAACATGTGGGCAAGCGGCTGATTTCCGATGGCAAGGTTGGCAGAGGGAGATGATGCGGAGAAAGAATTTGCAGAGCCTTCAGCTTCCTGCACAGGTGGACGTGGCAGGAATAGAGCAGATGGCGCAGTTTGAAGAGCACTGCTGGCAGGTGGAAGGGGAAAAGATGCTGCTCCAGAAACAAGGCACAAAAGTGCAAGAAGTTACTGCTGGAACATGTGAAGGTCCACCCGGCTCATTACCACAGGGACCGATGTGGGGAAGGAAGTCAGAGTGGAGACTGTGGACGCTTAGAAAAGCACACAGGGGCATCAAGATCACATGCAGGACTCCATTGGTACTTGTAATCTTCCAGCTACCATAGTTCCTGATGTTTAATATGTTTTGGTTTTGTTTTTTTTTGCCCATCTGGCAGCAGAGGCCAGCTCCAATGGGAGAGCTGGTGGGATGGAAGCATTCCATGCATCCCAAAGTGCTTGGCATGGGGAACACTGCAGAGAACAGGCCAAGGGAAGTGAATTCTGTGCTGCCTCTCCGTTGGGAAGAGATGACACATGTATCTTTTAATAACCTTCATTTAATTCTTTCATGACATTAGCATGTGTAGAAATGTTACAGGCTTGTGTTCAATACTGATAACGTTGCATTGCTGCGTGGGTTAAAAGCAAAGCCCTTTGTGTCAAGTAGAATACAATCACTTCATTTTTCTTTTATATATAAAATAAACGCTTAGAAGTACGAACTGTTATTGCTATTACATTCCTGAGTTGTGCAGAGAACTCGTTCTCTTTGCCTTCATTAGATGCTCCCTGCTATCAGCAGCCTCTGCTCATCAGTCGCAAAGCTCTGTGGCGTGTTATAAAGGGTTTGTCCATGCAAGCTGGCAACTGCACGCAGGGAAATTTTCTGTGGAGGCAAAAAAGGGAAGAAACCACAGCTTAGCAGGCTCATCACTTGTTCAGCAGGGACAGTTGGATGAAAGACCAAAACACAGATCAGCTCCTGAACTATTAACCCAATCCTGTGCTGTCCTCCTGGACATAATAAACTTCATAATTCACTACAGCAAACCTCCCGTGACTGTGGCAGATCGTACAAGTGAAGCTGCCTGGAGCTCGACTGATGCTGCCAATGCAGTAGGAGTGTACTCTACTGAGGAAGAAAGGACCGCTCAGAGCTGTTCACACCACAGGTCCTCCAGCCTTGATGACTGATACACACAAGCTTAGAAGCAGGCAAAGAGACCACCCTGCATCGTGTCAGGCTATTGGAAGTCTGGAGAAACAGAGCACATAACATCAGCGTTGATTTTACCTGAAAATCACGAATATAGGTGAGGAAAAAGCTGAGGAAGGAGAATGCTAATGACCACTCGGAGGCAGTACTGACAATGTGAGCTGTGTAGCCCTGTGTAACAGGGAGAGAGAAGGGGAGAAAATAAAATCAGTATGAGAAAGTCTTGGTGACTCTGCAATGGCACAAAGTTGGCTTGAACACAACGCCCTGCATCTACAACTACTCTGTTCAGAAAGCAAAATCCCTTAGGATATCTGGGGTCTCTAAAAATGAAGTGCTGAACTCAGTAGAAAAGTTTGTTAAAACATTTGTTTTTTTCTTTTTTTACTCACTTTTTCCTGGGGGTCCCAGTGCAACTTTTGCACAAGACCTGTTCCATACAGGCCACTGTATAAGACAACTGAGGAAACAAACACTGTGGAAATACGTTAAGGAGGATTCAAGACAAGGAAGGAGCAACTTGGAAATTCCAGCCTTGGCACTGGGGTGCTTCAAAGGGAGTCTGTAAGGAGACCTGTGTGTTCTCTACCAGGTCTCCTCAGCAGAATGAATGCTAATGGAGATGTGAACAGTTCTGCATCGTTCCCTTTGACTTGCAGGTTGCTTCAACATGAAAAGCTTGATTCTAAGTGCATCAGTCATCTTTGCTCTCTGTATACTGCACCTTGTTGTACCTCCTTGATCAACCTTAACGTCTGCATGGAAACACTTAGGCTGTGATGGATGTGCACCATGCTTACCATTTCCAGCATTGGGTTTTTTTGAGTTATCCAGCAGTGGATAAGCATTTCTAGGTTTCCTTCTGCCTTCCACTACCAGAAACAACCACTTCTCCCATGGCCAGAGATGACTTCTTGTTACCACTTCTCCCTTATTACATGATGAACTGTTAATTTAGGAAATACTCAATTTCCCTTTGATTCCCCTTCCATATATATAGGTATGCATGTATTATTTCTACACTCCCCTCTAATTTTGGTTAGACCATACTGGTTTACAGACCTCTGTAGATCTTGTGGGTTTTTTTTGGCATCTGTACAAGGTTCTTAACTTGCATCAGTTCATGTTGCTCCCTTTCAGTCTGCTCCAATTGTATTTGGCTCTTAACTGTTTGGAGCTGAAAATCTCATTCTTCTGTAGCACAAAAAAAATCTCACAGCTGACTTCCTTGCCGTGTCAAGCCTCTTCCTCCTTGCTTCGTTACCAATAACCAGCCTGACCCAAATTACATTGTTTTGCAGTAGCAGGAATGGGAGCTTGGTGATCAGTGAGGTGGTCTATGGCTTCATGTTGGTTTTGGCTGTCAGCCCAGGAATAAATAAAATCAGCAGGGATTAAATAGGTGGCCTCAATTCAACTGCAGCAGGAACAGCATTTAGGCAATGATTTTTGGACTCATGTCTTTGGAATGTAAATTCTAATGCTTTAGTGTTGTAATCCTGTTTGATGCAACTGAGTCACAATTTTCAAAACACAGTGTTTAGGAGTGAACATAGGAACTGCTGGTTCAGTTTCCTAATTGTCAGATAACTCTGGATAGGAGAAATGCTCTGTTTCTGAATGAGTTTGCCTAGATTTCTATGGCTGCTTC